AAGCTATATTGTGATTTATTTGATTTTGGCTTAGCATGATATATGAATTCTACAATTGCAGTTTATGAATAGTGATTTATACCTCAGTGTTTATGAAATATATCACTAGTTATTCAATAGCTGTGGCTTAATTTAATGTTCTGACCTAGTCAATTCTATTCCTTGTATCTTATTTTTGGGGTATCCATAGGCATAAATGCTTGGCTGTTGGCCCCATATTTTTCGGCATAGTAAACTCATATACTATGAAGTTCTTGAAGTTCTTTCTCAGTTTTTCTAGATAAAGCTATGCTATCCCACAAAGAACTCATTTGATATTTGGAGAACACTCGAATTTACTTGCCCTGTAATCACTATTTTCATTGAAGTCAAAATATCAGTTCTGAAGCATTATTATGATATAATAATAAATTCTTTTTTCTTTACTTGATAATCATGGCAACTTGTTTCCCAAAGTTCTCATTTGTGAATTCTGAACTCAAATATTTCCTTCATTTTTAAATATTTGTTCAATATTATTCAGAAATTTTAACAATCTTGTCAGTGGAATATAGCACCTCATTTTCTTTGCCATTTGCACATGATTTTATTTCAAAACTGGGTTTTTCATTTTGTAAAACTCACATTTAATTCAAGTCAAACTGCAAAAATGCTGTTAGGAAAAATGCTTGTGAATTGACAGATACAAATAAGTCACTTATTTTCGCTACACTATTAAATTCTATTACTATTCCATAGAAAATTTTTCCACCAGTTCAACCTGAAAGAAAAAAACAAAACAAAATTATTTTTAATATAATTAAACAATGCTAGTTCAATAACCTTAGTTCATAAGCTTTTTAGATAATAATAACAACAGCATCAAATAGCAACTCTACATATCCCAGAACTTTGGAAAGGATTTGATAGGTAAAAAAAAAAATCTAGTCCAAACATCTGGCTGACTATGTGATGAACTACAATCAAGATGCTCTATGAAAATAACATCAAAAATCTGGATGAAGATGATTACTACAAATACCTGGGCATCTTTCAAGCTGACAACATCAAACACACTGAAGTCATGAAGTTTAGAAGTGAGAGTGAAGAACTTAAAGTCCAAACTCAGTGGAGGAAATGTCACCAAGCCAATTAACACCTAGGCAATTCCAGCATTGGATACAAAATTACAAAGTAATAGAAAATGAAGAAGCTGCCACATAACACCCCAAGCTTAATAACTGTTGATAAGCAAGACACAACCATCTGGATGTTGCATGTGGCAGTATCTGGAGACAGGAGAAGAGAACTAGAGAAAATCACAAAATAAAAAGATCTGCAAATAGAGGTATATAGACCATGGCAAAAGAAAACACAGATAGTACCAATAATAAAAGGCATATTTGGTGCAATTCCAAAATAATTGGAGCACCACTGGAACACTTGATATGATAGCAATGTTTCAATATCTCAGGGGTTGCCATAAAGAAGAGGGAGTCAAGCTATTCCTCAAAGCACCTGAAGGCAGGGCAAGAAGCAATGGATGGAAACTAATCAGGTAGAGAAGCAACCTAGAACTAAGGAGAAATTTCCTGACTGTTAGAACAATTAATCAGTGGAACAATCTGCCTCCAGAAGTTGTGAATGCTCCAACACTGGAAGTTTGTAAGAAGAAAGTGGACAGTCATTTGTCTGAAATGGTATAGGGTTTCCTGCCTGAGCAGCAGGTTGGATTAGAAGACCTCCAAGGTTCCGTCCAACTCTTCTACTACTACTACTACTACTACTACTACTACTACTACTACTACTACTATTATTATTATTATTATTATTACCACCATTGGCATTAACAAAATCATCATTGCATGCTAAGTACAGACTTGAGTACAAAGCCTTTATCTGAAATATTTTATAAAAAAATAAACATTCCTGGATAAAATCAACTATTTTTTTAAAAAAAATAATGACAAACTGCTTATAGAATATTTATGGATTACAAACAAGATCAATCAATTTGAAAGATGGTTTATACTCAGAATTACATTTTACATTATTGCAAATCCTGAATTACTCTATAAATGCAACATTTTATTTTAGGAAGAAATAACTTTCTTTTAAAGAAGACTGTCCCCCCCCCCTTTTTTTTTTAACCTAGAAAGACTTGTGAATTGACACAGAAAAAGACAATTTGGTAAATCAAGTAATATGGCTCCATATCTATGCATATTTCCATTTTCCTTCAACTCAAAATATAGAAGGGATTGTGATTACTTAGATTCAATGTATTGGGGTCAAGTCACATTAGAGCTGACCCAGATCAACAAATAAAAAATATTGTCATATATGAGATATTCATTTCTATATTGACATAATGTTTTTCCATTTACCTATTTTACTCACATATAAATGACAGATGTATAAAAAAACCTGCATTCCAGCATAAGTTTCAGAATGTTGTTGTTGTTAATTGCGACCCATCGTGACCCCATGGACAACGTTCCTCCAGGTCTTCCTGTCATCTACCATCTTCTGGAGTCCATTTAAGTTCACACCTACTGTTACCCACTGTATAAAAAACATTCAGAGTTATTTCATTTAGAAATTTCCCTTGATAATAAAAGGAGCAATCATTGGTGTTTGGCCATGGTCCAAATACCCTAATCCAACATTCTTTCCCAAACAAGAATGACAAATTTAGATAGACCATTTCAAGCAAACCTTTTCCTTAGGTTTCCATTTAAAGGGAAGTAAATAAATGAAAACACGGAACAATGTCCTAGGATTAATGACTAGCAGAAGCCTTGGCTCTATACATGAACCAGGATGGAGGCTCGGTGGCACCGAACATACAGGAAACAAATTTACAATCACTATATATATATATATATATATATATATATATATATATATATATATATATATATATATATGTAGGTCTTTGGTTGTTCGGGTTTTCTCCCGCGTAAAATTGGAAGTGTCTTAGCGACGTTTCGACGAAGTCCCATTCGTCATCTTCAGGCTGGTGTTTTCAGCTTCGTGCTTCGAGCAGCAATGTTGCTCAAAGCATGAAGCTGAAAACACCAGCCTGAAGATGACGAATGGGACTTCGTCGAAACGTCGCCAAGACACTTCCAATTTTACGCGGGAGAAAACCCGAACAACCAAAGACCTACATACAAACACCCGCGAAAACCTCAGAAAACATATATATATATATATAGTAAATTCTTCCAAATTATTCTTATGAATGCCAAGTGTCCATAATATAATATAAACTTTTCACTTTAAAATGATTTAAAATTATCTTACTCAGTTACATGGGATAACTGAGTTTGACAGGTACAGATTCAATACTTCTCAGTGAATAGGAGTATTTGAGTGGCTCTTCTGGCAAAAAAAGGATCAGCATTTTCACATAATATAAATTTGTAAAGGTTTTCCTGAAGAAATAATGCAACATGCAGATACCTTCAGACCTGAATCATTGTTCTGACAACTTCTACTGCTTTCTTTTAAAAATTCTAACATTTAAATGTTACATAGACCAATCCTGTTGCAAAATGCAGCTTTACTTGGAACAGGTTATATCCTGCAACAGTACCTTTAACATTATTAAACAAATCTGCATATCCTAATTCCTTGAGAAGGACTCAATAGGTGGATAAAATGCCAGATCCAGTCTAAATGTCTGTCTGACATAATTTATTAAATTTATGTCAGAAAACAACAAAAATAATTTATTAAATTTATATGCAGCCTGACACCCAGAGACTTTGGCAATGGTGGGATTCAAATATGTGAACAACCGGTTCTCTGTGCGGAAGCCGCTTCCGGAAGTCCATTCTGGGCCTGAGCAACAAAAAAATAACTACTGGTTCTGCTGAAGTGATGTGAACTGGCTGAATCCCACCACTGGACTTTGGGCAGTTTACAATTGTTAAACATTTTAAAACCAAGAAAAATAGACAAAAATAGACAAAAACATCACGAGATGAAGAAACAATGGCAAAATAAATAAAATAGTTGCTATATAAATAATTCTTTTTATGATCCATAATTTTTAAATAGTGAATTGCTGCATTACCTCAGGAACTGAGGCAGGTATTATGATAAAATATTACAGGTAAACCTCATCTAACAACAGTAACTGGGAGTGGCAATTTCATAATTAAGAAAACTTTAGTGAAACTGCAATTGTGCTTACAATCTTACTTCAGCTGTCCTTTGCTTTACCAACGTGCAGTTGTAAATGCAAGGATTGGTTATATAACTACTTTCTCATCACTACCACAATTGTGAAAGGTCACTATGCAAGGCAGTCATTAAACAAGGACCATCTGTATATCCTTGTTACAGATCATAATCTTGATAAAGAAGTGGTGATGAGCCAAGTTTAGTTTAATTTTAAAAGAAAAGGGAGAATCCTGAGAATTGGTCCTAAGCAGTAATTATTATATCTACACACAGAAGCAAGATTCTGACTTAGTAACAGAAATATCATCTATAGCAGTAGCATCTCACAGCCATCCTTGATTTAACTTAAAAATGTTAAGGAGAGTTGGACATAGTTAATAGTTAGATGAGAGAGCAGGAAATCCTGAGCTGCAGATTATTCTGCCAAGTTGAAAAAATAACCTGGAAAAAGGCAATGTCAAACCACTTTCATGCCATGGCCAAGAAAACTAGATGGATGCATATGTGTAATTAGTCAGAAGTCTAACTTTACTAAAGAAAGTCCCCATGTTTTACATCAAATTCTCTCAGAAACACCTAATATTAATTCAGTGGATTCATCTGCAGCTTTACTTTACTTGGGTATTATTCATGGTTTTAGATATGATTTTTTTTTCACCTGAAAATAACTGCTTAGGAGAAGAAGTCATATGAACTTCCAAACTGTTTGTGTACTCTGAACTACAGTAGTAATTAACTCAGAAGTTAATGTGTACTACTCCAGTCTCTGAAATAGAATTAATATTGCTGTCCCTGAAAGTTTGTATTTCCTTTTATTACTGCATGGATCTGTTTCTCCATATCGAGGCATCCAGATTTCATCCCTCCATCTGAGTTCCCATCCTTTATGGGCTGAAGGCTTTAAAGGTATGCGATGCTTGACCTCCAACTGTGCAGAGGTGTAAGGCTTGGACTCAGCTCTGGCACTGTGCATTGTTGCTGTTATCTCACCACCCTCCTCTAGCCTTCCCAGCCTATCTTTGGATGCTTGCCCGGCTTGTGTCTGAGGCTGTGACACATGTTCCCTTCTCCTCACAGTGGAGAGATTATAACCAGCCAGGGCAGCCTCAGCTTTTTTAGGAGCAACCAGCAGACTGAGCAAAGAGAAAAATCCGAGAGAGAAAACCTATTTTACAATTGTTTACACATCCTGGAAATACAGCTTGGGTCTCAGCAAAAGTTCCAAGTCTGAACCAGGAACAATGACACCTGGACAGATGAATGCCATAGTACACGAGAAGCAAACAGCAACAGGAGAATGGTCTGCCGCTATGTTTCCACATGAGCCTTCCACTCCAGCACTGGCCCAGAAGTGCCTCCCAGATCAAGGTAAGGTCTGGGAGATCAGACATAAAGAAACCAGTCTCCCACTTTTTTCTTGTCTTTCTGCAGGACAAGTAGGATGCTTTTTAAATTTTATTAGCTAAAACCAACGCAAACATACAAATGCTTTAAATATGTAGTATTTTGCATTCAGCACAAATTTACTTTATGCACCTGAGCCAACTGCATATTCTTAAATTGATACTTGTCTGAATAATTTATTTCAAATGAAAGGTTTGGGTACTTAAGCAAAACATTTCCAGAATGTTTGCCATTTATGTTAAAATGCAACTGCTTCCTATTATCTCTGCAAGAAGGACCCATTTTGCAAAAAGATTCTATATTTGTTGTGACTGATCTGTTTTATTCTATAATGCATTTTCACCTGAGTAATAAATTATATGCAAACTGTTAAAAATTTTATACACATGAACATAGATGGATTCTACAACTCATTCAACAATTGCTACACAAATCTCCCAATGCATTTGGGAGATAATACTTTGGGGCATCCCTAAAGTAAGATTAAGCCATCTGTATAACCAATTTCATTGAACCACTGATTTCTCCATCATGTATACAGATATGTGTCACATCAGAATTGTTTGCTTCTACTGCATTTAATGGAATTTACTTTCAGTTAAAAGTATACAAGTTTTAAATTTTAGATGCACCAATTGCACATCTTTCTATCAATAAACATTGCAATTGTCAATTCACTGAAGTTCAGAATGTTATGCTAGTAATTTTTTTTTAAAAAAATCAGTGCATAATAACTACATTATGTGGTTAGGTGAATATTATGGTCTATGGAAAATTTAAAAACTCAACTCCTATCAACAAAGCATTATAAAATGTTATGAAAATTACATTGCACAATGACTGTGATTATTCATAATTTACATATTCCTAGTCCCTGAAATGCACCCAGGAATAACAAAATTCTTCAGAATTCATTAATTAGAGAATTTCAGTGTAAAATTATTTTTACTGATACTTGAGCCAAGAACCAAACACATTGATTTCCTCTAATTTATTGTACTTCTATTCTTCTCTTTCTTCCTGAATAGACTTTTCCTGAAACAAACAAATACACAAATAAATACTGGGAACATATAAAGGCCAGTATTATATGTAACATTTCATGAAAATAACAGAGAAAATATGCAAAATTCTTGTTAAACTGTATTTTATTTTATGAATACCTTAGTACAAAATGAAGGTTACAATTTCTTTTGATTCATTATTTCTTTGTAAAGTATTTTTATTGCACATCATCAGTAAAATCACCTACAGCAGACCAAGATGCAACACAATGCTTATTTTTACTTTTTCTAGTATATATTTTATATCATCTTTATTAAAGATTTTTGAAATGAAGACAAAACCAATAAAAACTAATATATGTAAGAAAAAAAGAAAAATAAAGAAATAAAAGAGAATGCTAAAATGCAAAAACAATAGAAAAAGAAAAGAAAAGAGAAAAAACATACAGTACAAAGTAGCTTCCATTCTTCTTTATAGCAATTACAGGAACAACTATAAATTTACCTCTTATGCTATAGTTAAACTATAGCTCTCTTCTTTATATAACTTATCTTGTCTAACCATCAAAACCATAAATCATTTCCTGTTTTTCTGTTTTTCAAGAAAAAAAGTCTATAAGAGAGTTCCAGTTAGCAATAAATGTAGATAACTGTTTTTTTTTTCTGATCAAAGAAGTAACTGTTTTTTCTGATCAAAGAAGTTTAGCAAGTTCATCAATCATTAGTCCATCGTTGGTAGTTGCTGAACCTTTCTATCTTTGGGCATACAACACTCTTGCTGCAGTTGTCATGTACAAAAACAAAGTTTCATAACTTTTTTGAAATGTTTGTCCAATAATCCAAAAAGAAAAAGTATGGGTTTCAATCTTCTGAATCAATGTATACATTTTAAAAAGCCAACACAATGCTAGGCTGCATTAACTGAGGGATAGAATCAAGATCACGTGAAGTATTAATACCACTCTACAATGCCTTGGTAAGGCCACACTTGGAATACTGCATCCAGCTTTGGTCACCACTATGTAAAAAAGATGCTGAGACTCTAGAAAGAGTACAGAGAAGAGCAACAAAGATGATTAGGGGACTGGAGATTAAAACATATAAGGAATGGTTGTTGAAATTGGGTATGTCTAGTTTAACGAAGAGAAGGACGAGGGGAGACATGATAGCAGTGTTCCAATATCTCAGGGGCTGCCACAAAGAAGAGGAGTCAAGCTATTTTCCAAGGCGCCTGAAGGCAGGACAAGAAGCAACGGATGGAAACTAATCAAGTAGAGAAGCAACCTAGAACTAAGGAGAAACTTCCTGACAATTAGAACAATTAACCAGTGGAATGACCTGCCTCCAGAAGTAGTGAATGCTCCAACACTGGAAGTTTTTAAGAAGAGACCGGACAGCCATTTGTCTGAAATGGTATAGGGTTTCCTGCCTGAGCAGGGGGTTGGACTAGATGACCTCCAAGGTCCCTTCCAACATCATCATCATCGCTGTTGTTGTTGTTATTATTATTATTATTATTATTATTACTATTATTATATGCACTACAAGTATTATGCTACCCAAATCTCAGGTCATGTCCTTCTAATTCCAAAGTGTTCTGTTCCTCAGAAGCATCCACTCTTTCATCTAAACCTAAATAGCAAACTTCAAAATACAGTTTTAAATCAGGTAAACTCAGTACTACTTTTTGCATCTTGTAACACCTTATATCTAACTCATGTTTTTTCACTTGTACATACATTTAGATATAACTTCTGCCATTTTTAAAATGGTACATGAATTGCCAAATGAATTATTGTCAGAAAAAAAAATTCTAGGCAAGACCCTCATTTTTATCACATACTACAGTCAGCCAAATGCGCACACTGGATTTGGCATTTTTGTCTGTCTGCTGAATACTTCTGAAGGACCTGGAATATTATTAAATTTATTTGCCACCCATCTGGTCATAAGGCAACTGTTTTTTTAACGTATCTTTTTTAACTTCAGTCCATGTCTTAACATATTTGAAATTTTATATTTATACTATGTCTTAATAAAGTTATTGTGAAATAATATGCAGTTCATATTTATTATGGTGACATTCAGATAATTTACCTTCTTTGCAATCTTAAAATCCATTTTACTTATCAGTTGTGTTTGATTTTCTATTTTTGTTAACGTCTTTGTCTTTTGTTTATTAAACTTAAAGCCTGCTAATACTTTTAATTTGTCCATTAATAAATTGGCTTTAGTATGGTGCCTGTTCCACATTCAGTGAACAGATAAGGTTCCATCCAAATCTTATCTAACTGAACATTAATTTTAAGGATGATAATTTCAGGAAAATATAAAATAACAGCTATGTGAATGAAATAGCCTGATGTACTATTCAATAGGTTTGATTTTTTTAGTACTTTATAATTTAAAAATTATAAAGGCCAGTTCACATAAAAATTGGGCTCTTGACAAACCCAAGGAAAGAGGGACCATATTGCAGAGACAGGCAGCTCAACATAAAAGTGGGGATGAGAAGCTTGGTGAAAGCTCGGTGGAGATGTTTTTGTTGCAAGAATATCAATATCTTATTCTTCCAGGATTGTGCTGGTGGAACACAAGGAGTTGGGAAGAGCAAAGCAAATTAACATGATTAACTGAAGGTCCTTTGCTTGAAAAAGTAGATTTTATATTTTATCACTTAGTGAATTTCTGCAAGAAAATTCCATGCAGCATTTAATCATCAGATCTTACTGTATACAATTACTAAATATTCTTATTTATATATTTATAGCATGAGCTTCTTCCTTAAGAATTCAAGGCTGCATTCATAATTCCTTTCTTTAACTTTATAACCATATTATAAGATAGATTAGACTGAAAAAGAGTGATGGTACACAAGTTATTCAGTGAACTTCACAGTTGTGCATAGATTAATACCCAGAGCTCTCATTATTGAACACATCTAATCCTACTTGAGAATTAACTATGACTTTCTGATCATAGTCATACTTATTTTGAGGCATGAGCAAAGCCCATGGTCTGTGTAGGATTGTAATTTTCCTATCTCCACAGAAGTTCAGCCACAGGAGACAAAAACAGGGGCAGGGAGAGATCATTTTGTTTTGTTTTTAACAAAAACCTCATCTGGGAAATCAAAACAAACAAGAATCAAACCTGAGCATCACTATCCATCATTAAGAGCAAAAAAGAGGGGGGGAAAGGAAAATTTTGTTGTTATAGTATGCTGACAAAGCTAAAAAGATAATTGGGACCAGAAATGGATTAGATATATTCACAGAAGATCTATCTATCAACACCTCCTAGCGATAGTGTAATACAGAGATTAAAATGGTACTTTAGCCTGCAACAGCTGAGAACTGAGAGGGAACAATAGTAGAATGAGAAACTATAGCGGAAAAGGTGATATGTTTATCTTGGAATTGGTACGTGAGGAAAAATGCTTAAGCCATCTTTCATGTCACAAAAATATCTTGTTCCAGCTTAAGTGAGTGGAAAAGAACACATGTAAAAGCTGATAGTTGTTTAGTTGACTTATGTCTCTTAATACAATGCGCAGGATTTATGTTAAGTGAATTTCTGATAGCAGATTCAAATAAGCCTTTTTCTGTTACCTGAGCCAAAAGCAAGATAAATAGGCTCTGCTTTTACATCATATTTAACTAAGGGGTGTGTGTGAAGGTTTTGTTCTAGACAAAATGTATCCAGTTAAATAACTCTTAGTCTATAAAGATTTAATGTTATGTTTACCCAATTGTAAGAATTTTCCTGTGTTGAACAAAATTTCTGGAGAAAAGGCTATGCAAATCAGAAAACATGTATGAGAAAGGCAATTACAATTCTCCCTCTTAAAAATTTCTATTGTTTTTGCAATTTTATTTCCCTGCATTGTGTCTTCATTTATTTATATATTTAGGACCAGGGCTTTTTTTTAATAGAACACACTGAAATGGGGTTCCGACA